CAAAATTCGTCGTCCGTGGGATTTGAACTCTAGACCTGCCACTTGGAGAGAGTGACGACTAGACCACTACACTAAGTATAAATTAATATATCATATATAGTATACAAAAGTATATATAATTTATACAAATGCGTTTTTAAAGAAAAGTAATATATCGGGCTTTTAAACTTATAATATCAGGTCCAACTTTTATAAAATTTGATATTTAGAGTTTATAATATTCGTTGATAGTTTAAAAGCCCAAAGTCCAATATGGCTATTAAATAGCAAAATTCAATAATCATAATGATGATTTTTTACTTTTTTTAAAAATCGCTTTTAAAAATGCCTATTAATGAATGAATCGATGATACCTTCGAATGATATTAATTTTGATGAGGAATCTATCCTATCAATTAGTAGCTCTTCTGAGGATGAAAATTTTTTTGAAGAAAATAATTCTTTTAATAAAATTGATAAAGAAAGTTTTTCTTGAAAAAAATAATTTTTTTTGAGAATTTTGATGTCAATGATACATTTGAAGATCAGGTTCTTTTCCAAGAAACTTCTAGATCTTCACCTGAAATAAAAGTTCTGAAATATTTCTTACATTATAAACACAACACTCTATGTTTTTCTATGTTACCATCTCAAGATATTCAAAAAAAAAAAAAAAGGATTTGTCAATAACAATTCTCAAAACCGGCATATTGAAATAATAACAATAGTTTTCATATCACTATAATAAATCTATTCGTAAAATCTTAATTTGAGCCCGCAAAATCTTGATTTTTTTAACCACTTTTAAAATTGGCGAAACCGAAACCTGGTGAAAGTTCCGAAATCTAATATTAGAATTTTTATTAGAAACATACCTAGAGTATAGTGAAACAGAATGTTGAGATATCTTCACTCAAAGATTTAAAAAATCCAAACCGTTTAGCTACACCAAACTGTTGTTAACCTTTGAGTGAAGATATTTCGACACCCACCAAGCCAAATTTAATGAACTTTATTTTATTTAAATTCCATGAATCTGTAGAATTCAAAAAAAAATGCATTGAATATGGCTTGGTGGGTGTCGTGATATCTTCACTCAAATATTTAAAAATTCAAAACGTCTATCAAAAAGAGCTGTGCCAACTTTTTTTTTAAACTTTGAGTGAAGATATCACGAAGCCAAATTCGATTAACTTTTTTTTATTTGAATTCTACAGATTCGTAGAATTTAAATAAAAAAAGTTTATTAAATTTGACTTGGATATCTTTACTCAAAGATTTAAAAAATTCAAAACGTCTATCAAAAAGAATTAACCATAGCTGCCGCAACAAAATTTTCATAGCAGATTCTTAATTTTGATTGGCTAAGAGCGACAGTCAAAAAATTAGCCCGTAATAACTCATAATTTTACTAATGAAATCGCAGCCGCCTATTAAGTGAAAATTGTTCCTGGGCTGATTTTACTATAATGCAGGCTTATTTTTTATTTTTGTAAAGAAAAATTAAAAAGTTAATTCTGGCCGGAAATTAGTAAACAATTATATAATACGGGCCAAAATTTCGAAGATCCTTGGCCATTAGCCAATCAAATTCGAGGATCTGCCGTGACAATTTGTTGCAGCAGCTATGGTTAATATTAAAAAAGCCAAACTTTTTTTAAACTTTGAGTGAAGATATCTCGACACCTACCAAGCCAAATTCGAAGAACTTTTTTTTAAAATAAAAATAGTTTATCAAATTTGACTTGGTGAGTGTCAAAATTACTTCACTCAAAGATTTAAAAAATTCAAAATGTCTATCAAAAAGAAGAGTTGTGCCAAACTTTTTTATCAAAAATTGTTCAGAGATTTTGCCATTTTGGTTTCGCCATGTTTTGGAGGTTTCGCCAGGTTTCAGAAGTTTAGATTTATTTCGCCTTTGGGAGTATTTCGGTTTCGCCTTTCGGATTTTGGAAATAGATTTCGCCCGCAACACTAGATACTGTCACATATCGTTATATTTTAATTACAGTAGAATTTTCATGAAGTCACATAAAATTAAATTCTTTATGACTATATTATTTTATTTATTATATATTATGAGTATAATATGCAAGTTTTATATACTCAAATGTGATTTTTGTAACATACTCCACTACTTTACTAGACCATACTCTACTACTATTCGTAATACCAATATTTTTATGAGTACTATTAGAATATTCTTCTATTAATACTTCTAAAAATACTATTTATGTTTTTAATTTGTCAATCAGAAATATAAGGCATTTTAAATATCATATATCAAGTCTTGAAAGAAAATTCACGTTCATAAAAGTTATTATATAAATAAGCTTACAAATCAAAATGAATAATATTTATGAACCGCTGATTTCAAAATAAATACATCACTAACTTATTCAAAAATCTGATTCTTAACTCTGAATCACCCCAATATTGATATTTCAATTGATGAATTTAATATTCTAATATAAAAAGTTGCATATTTTTTATTTACAGTTTATCATTTAATTCTGGGTTTGTAGATTTTACCGTTTTTGATGATGACTAACTTGTGGTTCCACGATCATATAAGTAGGTAGACAGCATTGTGGGGTGCTTTCTCATTGTTAATACGGACATGTTCCTCTGGGAAAAATCCCGAGAGATATTGCATTACTATATAATAAGAATTTACGCTAATACAATTCTTCGAAAATTTAATCAGATATCTTTTAAAATTAAATATATTATATTTGTTGTTAATAAGAACTAATTATAAGAACCAATTATATAAGCAAATTTTAGATGGCAAAAAATTTCGATAGATATTTAGGGAAATATTTGACATAATCCTTAGCAAAGTTATTGACTCATCCTCATCAGTTTTCATAATCTTTTTTTATCATCATCACTTGGGATTTCTCTTCAGAAATCTTGAGTTTCTCACAGGCTAAAATATCAACAAATTGATGCCAATATTCTTTTGGACATACTCCATTTAAGCCATGAATAGTAGGCAGGCATAAATGATGACCCTAGAATATAACTAAAAAATAAAGTTGATCACCTATGTCCATAAATAAACATATTGTAATGCACTATAATGCGTTACATTGTCAACATTATATTCATCCCTTTAATGATACCTATTAAAAGTGAAAATGTTAACCATTAAAATAATTATATTCAAGATATTTGAGGGAACACTTTGCACATGCCTGAAACTTTACCAAGCACATGGATATTCGGCAAAAAATATTAATATTCTTCTACAGAATATATCGTTCGGAAGTCTTAATAGAATCAGACCCTTTCCTTGTGTTGGTATTGTTTTTGATTTTTGTAACTTTATCGATAGTTAATCACTATAGTATAAAATAAAATAAAATAAAAAATTGGTTAATAGAGCAGTAATATTTTTATTAGTAATATAAAGAAACTTGATAGGCACATAACAATCCTTTTTCGGAATTGTAGACCTTATCAACAAGAAACCCTTTAGATTGCATATCTATTTTGAGGTCTAAGAACTACTTTGATCGGTTTTAATTTTTGATAAATAAATTTTCACGATTTTCATGAGCAAATAAATTTTAATTTTGATAAATAAATAAATTTCCACAAGCTGAATTTTGATAAATAAATATGAATTTTGATAAATAATTTTCCACGAGCTGAATTTTGATCAATAAATTTTAATTTGATAAATAAATGTCCACAAGATGAATTTTGATAAATAACTTTTCACAAGATGAAATTTGATAAATAAGTTTTCACAAGATGAATTTTGATAAATAAGTTTCCACGAGATAAATAAATTTTCATGAATTTTGATTAATAAATTTCCATGAGCTGAATTTTTAATAAGTAAAATCTGTACGGTACTACTTTTCGTATATCTTTACCAAATAAATTTGAGCTGATCCAAAGAGAGCAACCTCACAAAAGGCAACCTAAAAGGTCTAAATACTACTAAAAAAAATAACTACCTGTTCACTTTCATTATTTCAATATTTTCTACTTGACGTGTATTGTCTTGATATTATATGAGTCGAAAAGTAAGTGAATTAAACAAATATATAGAATAGATATTTTTTATTTATATTTTTTGTATGCATAAGTTACATCTATGGTTACACGCTGTTTATTACATGTATAAATAAATTGTGTAACAAAGCTATGCGTATACTTATTTGCGTCTGTGATACAAACCAAAATTTCCTATATAGGTCTCAAGATCAGGTGCAGGGCCGATGATTTACTGTTTTGGTTAAGACCAAATTCTGTTTTCAGTTAAGAAAAATTCTGTGATGTTATGTGCTGTTTTTTTAATATATTCTGTGAAATTCTGTGATGAAAAAGTTAATTTCTGCATAATTTAGTTTGATTCTGTGATTTGATGTGATTAAAAAATACAAATGTGCAAAATTCCATAACTTCCCAACAAACATGTTAGTAATTACATTTTCAGGATTTCCCGGTGCTCCTGCGATATTATAGAATTCTGTAATATTCTGCACTACTTTTTTAGAATTCTGTGATATTCTGCACTACTTTTTTAGATTTCCGTGGCATTCTGCGACGATAAAGATGATTTCTGTAGTTAACTGTTTTTAAAAGCTATTTTCTGTAATCATAGTAAATTATTGGCCCTGATCAGGTGTAATGTATGTGTAACATGAAATCAAAGGCTTTTTCAAAAAATCGTCAATAACTAAAAATTTGACTTAAAAAATTACCTTTTATGATTTAATAAAAAAAATTCCTTGCAAAATTTTACTATAAATGTTACTTTATTCCAACTCTAGGCTTAACCTTAATGCCATTCCTATCTCATATTCTATTAGCAAAAATATAAACAAATAAATACTGTATAGCAAGACTTAAATGTGTGACAGATTATGCCGATGGTTAGATGATCTGTCTGACTGTACCCAGATGCAGATGCAGATCAGGCTAAGGTTAACAATTAGGTGGCCGGATTTTGTATTGCCGGTAATTTCTAAATTAAGGTTAGATTTTCATATTTGTTCAACAAATATTTCATCATTACAAGTGTAATCTGATAGTCCTGTGTTTGTCGTATTTTGATTCTATATGCTACGCCATTTCCATTATAGAACAATATATAACAATATAATTGTTGTTTGACTTTGTTTAGTAGTTTATCTGGTAGCTTTTTTAAGTCGATTACTCTGGGGTATCGTTCCATTATTGTAGCTGCTTCCGGTCGGTCCTTTCTTTC